CCCCAAAACCCCAAAACCCCAAAACCCCAAATTGTTAAACTCTAATTGAAATATTAGTCCTGATTTTCTTCATATTGCTTCCTCTTTCTTCGAAAATTCTTCATTGTGATTAATCTTCTAGCAGGGTTTGCTTTTGTTTGGCTACAAAATAATGGCAAGGACTTTACGTTCGGTTTAAATTTAGCCGCTGCTTAGTAGGATCCTAAGCTAATTAATCATTCAAACCTTACAGCAGATTTATTCCTTTTCTTGAGCATTTTTAAATGTAACCTCTTCTTTTTCCGGTCTGACCTAATTTCTTCTTCACCCTGGTTACAAGCTTGGTGGGATTTTCTTCTTTTCTTCTTGAAATACTGAGCTACAGATGAGCTTTAGACTCCTTACTCATGTTGCTAAAATCCCTGTTCTTTGTGATAATCTGGATATCAGTTTTTGTCTTCTTTGAGTGTATTTCCCATGGATTATTGCTCTTGACTGCACTTTTCATTCTCTTACGAATGCTTGTGATTTGGCGATCTGTAGAGACCCAATAAGTATTAGAGAAAAACAGTTGTTTAACTGCCAAGTTTTAATATTTCTAAATCCCTTGAAATATTAGGAGGGGGAAAACTTAACATGACCAGATCATAAGATGCGATGGGAAATTTAAAGAGCTGCCTTACCGATTTCATTAATACGGTATTTTGATGCAATTTTACTAAATTCCTGGCTGTTGGCAAGATCATTATTTATTTCCTTGAACCCAGTGATTATACATCATTTCTATGGTCTGGTTAGATTCTTTGACACGTCCTTTAGTCGAGACTCTATGGATAATTTTTATAATTACTCAACAGTATCATTATCATCCAAAGTGGCCTCTTGAGTTCAAGAGATTGGGGCACCTTCTTCACTAGCTTTGCCATTAATTTTTACTAAAAAGTTATTTGAAAGGATACCTTCAGGAGTTTCCGGCCGGTACAATCTCTGGGCACGATAAGCAGAGCTCAGGCTCTTCTTATTAGTCTTATTATTTCCTAAAATTAGTTTGAAATGCTTACAAATTATGACTGCCAACTTGATTCAAATAAATGGAAGCAGTAACATCAGGAGGATTAGCAAATTTAATATTCGTACAAATCGACATAACACTGTTCTTAGTGCTAAACTTCTGCTGATCCCGCCTTATCAGAGCGCTATTTCTGCCGTGGAAAATTTATTTTAGGTTGCCTATTGTTCACTTTCTCCTTTATCTTATAAGCAGGAGTATTATACGCCTTTGCCATCGGTCTCCATGAGTAGTTGGTCGTTGAAGGTGAGGTTTCCATTACAACATCAACTGTAGTGTTATCTTAGACAAAATGCCAAACTTACCATACCCAAGGGACAAATTCTTATTAACAAAGTTGATCAGATGCTTATTTGGTTGAAATGACTCAAATGGCTTTCCTCCATACATTCTTAATTTTATTTATTCCAATATTCATCTGAAATATTGGGGTTTTGGGGTTTTGGGGTTTTGGGGTTTTGGGG